ATTTTATAACCGTTGCTGTATCAACCCAGACTGTGTTTCCGATTTATTAAAGTCTTAAAGTTGTAAAAATAATGTTATTGGTATATTTTCATGTAAACAGTAGGATAATTACAATGTAGGTTATTCTTTTTTGGAATACATTTAGAGGATTTTTTATTATACTGTAAATTGAAACTACTTAAAAAGTGTTAGGATTAGGCGGTATAGTACATCTTCCCGTTGCGAAGCACGGGCACAGTAGCTAGTCCATCATAAACGTATCAGATATGTTAAAATCTGCCAAACGATTCGAAACTAAACAAGTTAAATCCCAACTGACGGATCGTGCTGTAAAAATCATCCTGAGTCATTGTGTCACTGAGATTATGTCAGTCACTATCTATACATGCAGTTATCAGTGAGTAATTTCTACATCCAACAGACAGTCAGTGACAGCACCTCCTGACAGATCGTGATGTAGACGTCCTCCTGAGTCATTGTGTCACTGAGATTATGTCAGTCACTATCTATACATGCAGTTATCAGTGAGTAATTTCTACATCCAACAGACAGTCAGTGACAGCACCTCCTGACAGATCGTGATGTAGACGTCCTCCTGAGTCATTGTGTCACTGAGGTTATGTCAGTCACTATCTATACATGCAGTTATCAGTGAGTAATTTCTACATCCAACAGTCAGTCAGTGACAGCACCTCCTGACAGATCGTGATGCAGACGTCCTCCTGAGTCATTGTGTCACTGAGATTATGTCAGTCACTATCTATACATGCAGTTATCAGTGAGTAATTTCTACATCCAACAGACAGTCAGTGACAGCACCTCCTGACAGATCGTGATGTAGACGTCCTCCTGAGTCATTGTGTCACTGAGATTATGTCAGTCACTATCTATACATGCAGTTATCAGTGAGTAATTTCTACATCCAACAGTCAGTCAGTGACAGCACCTCCTGACAGATCGTGATGTAGACGTCCTCCTGAGTCATTGTGTCACTGAGGTTATGTCAGTCACTATCTATACATGCAGTTATCAGTGAGTAATTTCTACATCCAACAGACAGTCAGTGACAGCGCCTCCTGACAGATCGTGATGTAGACGTCCTCCTGAGTCATTGTGTCACTGAGATTATGTCAGTCACTATCTATACATGCAGTTATCAGTGAGTAATTTCTACATCCAACAGTCAGTCAGTGACAGCACCTCCTGACAGATCGTGATGTAGACGTCCTCCTGAGTCATTGTGTCACTGAGATTATGTCAGTCACTATCTATACATGCAGTTGTCAGTGAGTAATTTCTACATCCAACAGACAGTCAGTGACAGCACCTCCTGACAGATCGTGATGTAGACGTCCTCCTGAGTCATTGTGTCACTGAGGTTATGTCAGTCACTATCTATACATGCAGTTATCAGTGAGTAATTTCTACATCCAACAGTCAGTCAGTGACAGCACCTCCTGACAGATCGTGATGTAGACGTCCTCCTGAGTCATTGTGTCACTGAGGTTATGTCAGTCACTATCTATACATGCAGTTATCAGTGAGTAATTTCTACATCCAACAGACAGTCAGTGACAGCGCCTCCTGACAGATCGTGATGTAGACGTCCTCCTGAGTCATTGTGTCACTGAGGTTATGTCAGTCACTATCTATACATGCAGTTATCAGTGAGTAATTTCTACATCCAACAGACAGTCAGTGACAGCGCCTCCTGACAGATCGTGATGTAGACGTCCTCCTGAGTCATTGTGTCACTGAGGTTATGTCAGTCACTATCTATACATGCAGTTATCAGTGAGTAATTTCTACATCCAACAGACAGTCAGTGACAGCACCTCCTGACAGATCGTGATGTAGACGTCCTCCTGAGTCATTGTGTCACTGAGGTTATGTCAGTCACTATCTATACATGCAGTTATCAGTGAGTAATTTCTACATCCAACAGACAGTCAGTGACAGCGCCTCCTGACAGATCGTGATGTAGACGTCTTCCTGAGTCATTGTGTCACTGAGGTTATGTCAGTCACTATCTATACATGCAGTTATCAGTGAGTAATTTCTACATCCAACAGACAGTCAGTGACAGCACCTCCTGACAGATCGTGATGTAGACGTCCTCCTGAGTCATTGTGTCACTGAGATTATGTCAGTCACTATCTATACATGCAGTTATCAGTGAGTAATTTCTACATCCAACAGACAGTCAGTGACAGCACCTCCTGACAGATCGTGATGTAGACGTCCTCCTGAGTCATTGTGTCACTGAGATTATGTCAGTCACTATCTATACATGCAGTTATCAGTGAGTAATTTCTACATCCAACAGACAGTCAGTGACAGCACTTCCTGACAGATCGTGATGTAGACGTCCTCCTGAGTCATTGTGTCACTGAGATTATGTCAGTCACTATCTATACATGCAGTTATCAGTGAGTAATTTCTACATCCAACAGACAGTCAGTGACAGCACCTCCTGACAGATCATGATGTAGACGTCCTCCTGAGTCATTGTGTCACTGAGGTTATGTCAGTCACTATCTATACATGCAGTTATCAGTGAGTAATTTCTACATCCAACAGACAGTCAGTGACAGCACCTCCTGACAGATCGTGATGTAGACGTCCTCCTGAGTCATTGTGTCACTGAGATTATGTCAGTCACTATCTATACATGCAGTTATCAGTGAGTAATTTCTACATCCAACAGACAGTCAGTGACAGCACCTCCTGACAGATCGTGATGTAGACGTCCTCCTGAGTCATTGTGTCACTGAGGTTATGTCAGTCACTACCTATACATGCAGTTATCAGTGAGTAATTTCTACATCCAACAGTCAGTCAGTGACAGCACCTCCTGACAGATCGTGATGTAGACGTCCTCCTGAGTCATTGTGTCACTGAGGTTATGTCAGTCACTACCAGTATGAGTAGTTATCAGTCAGTGCTGTGTACCATCACCAGACAGGCGTCATGTACTTCGTAGTCTTCTTTTCAGCAGCTTTGTGCTGCGTTACCTCTGCTGATGACGGTAATTGTTGAGATGTAACATTTAAGTTTTTAATATTATATTTTTATGCATAAAAATCCTATATCTAAATTTTTAAAACGTAGCTTTTTATATACTATCTCACTTAATATTTAATTGTTTTGTTACTTTTATATCCATACTAACCCATCAATGGGGGAAGAGGTGTAATATGGTCACTATTAATAAAATGAGTATTTTTTGTTTATTTATAAATTCCTCTATTGTTTCAAATTCTTCGTTCATTTTCCATGGGCATTGTTTTATCTAATAAATAATCTTCATGAGCTTCAGTAATTACTTTTATGTTTGGTTTGAACTCTTATATCAAGATATTGAAACTCTAATAGACGTATGTTTTATCCCCGACTATAGGTTACATTTTTGCAAGCGGCTCTAACGTGATTGAGCAACATACATGCATACATCTTGACAAGTAGATTTGTAATAGTAGTACTGGTAATAATTGCTAACACAGTTTCTGCCAACTCTTAGTTGGTATTACTTTGGAGATCAGCTGTTACTTTGGCCAAATGCGGGGATCGAGTACAACTGGGGGTTTCGAACCATCAAAAAGGTGTATCAGATTCTTATTGTAACTTCTTAGCCACACAGTAAAATCTCATTTCAAAATTGTCAACATTGGTTACTCCCACGACAGAAGTGTTTTGCGAGTCAGGCCTTGTCGCAGTTAGATAATATTAGCACTTTCTCCAGGGGTTTCTAGGCCTTCGTTGACGCTTGACACTTTGATCATGTGATGTGTGCTTGGTGACGAGTGTTTAGTTAAGCTTGAACGACCCATATTTCGTAACGGGGTGAAGGCGTATAAGATAATATCTTCTATAACAAGAGGTTTCAAATCTACAGTACTAAAGACGCTATTAATTATAGAAACATGACTTAAGACTCAACTGTAAAACAAAGAGTGAAACAAAATAACTTTATCGAATATTAAACAAGTAAATGTTAATAGTGCTAATGTAAACATTGCAGTTTCAGTCAAGGTTGTAGCACAAGATTTTAAAGGGCATCGGTCCATGTGTTGGCTTTGGCTGGGTTCATAATCATCCTTTATGTATTTTTATCCGAGATGATTCAGTATTTTTGCGATTGACCTCCAGTAATTATACAGGAATCACATCTCATACATCGACTTTTTAGAGCATTAGATTTTAGGTAAACGTTAGGTGTCTTTGGTATATTTAGAACACCAATGTTGACAATTTTGAAACGAGTTTTTAAAGCTGTCTGGCTAAGAAGTTACAATAACAATCTGATGGTCGAACACCTTTTTGATGGTTCGAAACTATACCCAGCGGTACTCGAGCCCCGCGTTTAGCCAAAGTAACACACTCCTTTCAGAAATAATTTAATTGTTGTAATTTTTCATTACTTTCTTGTACTTAAAAATCAGATATAAAATTTGGGATATACTGTATATTTGAAAATAAATAGTTAGCCTATTTTGCGAACTTTGTGTTTTTCAAGTGCCTCTAGTATGGTGCGCCTTCAAATCTATACAGCACTAAGTTTGACATTGTGATATTGCTGTTTGCGTTCGCTACAGTAGTGTCTGCAGTTGTATATATAGTCAATGATAGTATGGACATGATGAATCAGCATAATGTATTGAAACTTTAGTCATTTTTCGTTTGGGATGTGTTGCTATACATAAATCACTCATGAAAACAAGCTTCCGATTTTACAAATTTTTAATGTCAAAGCGAATTTTTAAGTAAGAAAAATAACATCTACTGTCAGGTTTTAAGTAAATATTTACTTATAATTACTTCTAACTCCTATGGCAATTGAAACAAATTTGGTTTTTTAGCCTTACGATCATACTACCTCCACTTTCTTCGCTCTGGTACTTTCACAGCCTCTTTAAGCTTTTTCAGATCTCGTCGTTTCAACACATTTTGGGTCTTCCTATAGCTCAATTTATATAATTGATAACTCCACTGTGTTCTAGGACCGCTGAATCTGTCGTTTTCAAAGATGGCTGTGTTCAACGAAGAGCCCTGTACGAGCCAGGGGGGCGTGTGCCTAGACACGTCCGAGTGTCCAGAGGGTAAGCTGGCCGAGAAGAGAGGACTCTGCCCGGAGCAACAGAAGAGAGGGGTAGAGTGTTGTTTGGCAGGTAAGAGGAATGAGGTGTCTAAAGGAGATTCACAAAGGATTTGAGAGCTAGACTTAGAACAAAATTTACACTTTGATTATAACCCTGTGATTTCCAAAGGGTCCTACGAGTAGGGAAGTAAGTCCTTCAAATCCTGAATAAAATTGCTATCATCAAACTGAAATCATCACCATGAAATGTTATTAAATATAAGCTTCAAAATTCATTGCTGCTAAATAAATGTTAATAAAAATTATACATTGCTTTGGCTTCTGTCTTTTCAAAACTTAATTTAAATGGAAACAAAAAACCGTTAGTGATGGAATCGTCTTTTTAAATAAAGTGTACAAGAGTTTTCTGAGGTAGTCATGACATATTAATGTTTTTGACTTAAAAATAAAACAAACATGATTTAATCTATGGCTACTCTTTAGTTGTTAGTTTTATTCTAAAATAGTTAACAGATTTTATATGGTACTTAACTGTACTTAGTTGTCCAACCCGCTTATCCTTGAGCCATGTTACAAGTTAAAACTCTTTTCCTTGCGTGTTGTCTTTTTATCTAAAAAAAAACTCCGTTCACAAAATGCAATCGGTTTTAGGGGAAGAAATATATCACCTTAAAGTCTTGATCCTACTATCAAAATAAAACATAACAGCTGAGATTTATCAAAACGTCAATCAACATACATAACTTACATTTAAGCAGAAAAGGTTCTGCGGGAACTTTCCCTCAAACTTCCTCAATATTTTAAACAGAGAATAATTTGTATAATCAATTAAAAACAAAATTATGATGAAGTTTGCTTGTAACACATACAACCAGGTGTTGCATCTGCACAGCTTTTCCAACATATCGCACCATCTTAATCCTTATGTATAAGCCAGCAAAATATGAATTCCATGCAAAATAAACAATACAATATGGACTTTACAATGCCCGCCAGACATTTTGAGTGCTAAAATAAGACGTAAACAAGTTGAGCCAACATTGGCGATGCCGGTTGCCCACACGTGCCCATATTGACTTGCCCACATAACGTGTTACAAAACACATAATGCGGCAATGGCCTACATGCCCGGCCAATGCCTCGGAATTGCGGTTGAGTTATTCTTACTTTGTGCAAGTCATAGTAATTATTTTAAACCTATTATCATGTTTATACATTTGCTAGGTTATGAAACGCTTGAAATTTTGGTAATGATTGATTATAGATGCCAATATTTTGACAAAACTCCTTTTCTACCTTGGGCATTGCACTGATGTTCAATATAATTGGCTCAGTCGTTGAATTAAGAGGATTTTTGCTCTTTATCACAATGTCTTTGTAAACGTGAGGTAAAATGTGCAAAAAGTATGTATTTATGATATTAATATATTTTTTAAATTAAATGTTTAAAAATAAAAACAAGACTTGTGGTTGGCGGATGGTTAAGACTTCCCCCTTCAAACACAGACGTATATTGTTGCATTAAAAGATTATGTTAGGCTACGATCAGAATCGCAGTACCCTTCCCTTACTATATGCGGATATATCCGCCTATCTATTTTGGCTCCGAGGACGGTAGGCAGATATATCCGCCGAATATTACGACATCTATTGTTATAGTTGATTGCATATAACAACATTAATCTTCACATAAACGGTCTTTTATTCAATTATACCTTTTAACCGAAGTACTAGGAATGTTTTTCTATAAAAAATTAACAAAATATTTTGGACAAAAGTGCTGCTTAGGTCAACTATTTACAACATTCTAAAATTTTCAAATGTAAAAAACATATTTTTTATTTTTTTTATTTTTTATTAATTTTGCTGTCTGTATAGGCCTATAGGCCGTCCTGGAAGGGTTAACCTTAGGAACTGAACCGTGTTTTCCTTTTTTCAGTTCCACGTTTATTTATATTTTTAATTTTGGTTCATGACATGATAATGGTCAAACAATATGAATGGGAAATGACATATATGTCTTATGAGTAGAATCATGCAGAACTATCTATGATTGAAAGATTATCTTCCAAAAAAATCCATTAGATAAGTTGGTTAACTATGGGATAAAAACACAATCGAGGCCTCTTTCAAACAAATATACAGTATGAGTAAATGGTGAGCATGGGGCGATTGTAGAACAGATGTGTTGAGATGTTTAACCTATTTTGTCAGTCCTTCTTCATATTATTCCTAAGACTAGTTATTTCAATCACCTTTTTAGACGCTTAAAATGAAACTAATACTGTACTATTTTGCAATGCACTAATAGAATTTGTGTGTTTTGTCAGCAGTGGGTCGCAGCGTCAAAGATTGCCAAGGCCTGGGAGGAGTTTGTAGGAAGGATTGTCCTGCCAACATCTCCATCAAGGAAGCTGAAGACTGCAACGACCAAGTCTGCTGTGCCCTTGTACAATAATTGATTTTTAACGTTTATTTCATTGTACAAACGAATTTCCAATATGCCATTGTTATAAAATTCAATTCTGAAACAGTGAAAACTTAAAAACGTACTTAACATCGGGGTCTCACTCCTAAAAATGCTCCTGGCCGAAAAAACTGGGGTTCTTTATCAGTAACAAAATCTTTATTATAATAATTTATTCTACACTTATCTTTTTCATTTTTCACTCTAAGCCACACACCATTGTTAGCGTTGGTATATAGTTGTGTGATTTGAATTTATTTATTTTTCATGACTTCATCTGTATTATTAAAATAATTTATAGTTTTAGGGGTAGTTTTTCTTTGGTCAACCCATGAGTACATACGTAACTTAGAGTATTATCATGAACCCTTTGTCCGGGGATAAACAGTTAGAAGTTGGAAAAAGTTAGAAAAATTGGACACTTCAGGGCCTTCTCAAATTAAGAATTGAAACTATTGTGTACACAATGGTAAAGTTCTCAAATTAAACAACACACAATACAATTTACGTTTAATTTAAAATCATGTTTTATTTTGTCATAATGTCATATTTAAAGCAAAACTAGATCCATTTTAAACTACTCTTTAGTCTTTCCCCTCTAGTACTGCGTAGCCAAAGGATGCAACATACTCTGTAAAATGAGTATTGTAATCAAATAAAACCGTTTACTCTACGAAAACGTACCCAAACATAACCAGAAGCAAAATACAGACATCAAAAAAGGTTTCAGTGTTCACAATAACATTGATATTGAATAAATTTATCATTATTGTAAAATGGTGCCTTTTGTATGAGTGTTTTAAGTTTGGTGTAATTTGAGTGCTCAAATGTAGACTAGACGATTTATATTATTTTAGAGTAGAATATGTGATTTTTCTTTTATGTTTGCAATACCATAGAGCAATAAATAACCAATTAATGAATCGCAGGTTAAATAAGTGTTAACATTGATCAAATAAAAAGAAGCATTTAGCTGATCCATTAGCATGGTAAATAGTGTTTAAAGGAGTGTTTTAAATGTAAGACGATAAGATGTACCAAAGCCAATGCTACGAAAACTTCAATGGTAAGAAATACATCTACATCCCTCAAACCCTTCTTCTGGCTTCTGGAACACCCTATAACCATTCTTCTGGCTTCTGGAACACCCGAAAATCATTCTTCTGGCTTCTGGAACACCCCAAAATCATTCTTCTGGCTTCTGGAACTCCTCAAACCATTCTTCTGGCTTTTGGAACACCCCAAAATCATTCTTCTGGCTTCTGGAACACCCCAAAATCATTCTTCTGGCTTCTGGAACACCCCCACACCATTCTTCTGGCTTCTGGAACACCCCCACACCATTCTTCTGGCTTCTGGAACACCCTCAAACCATTCTTCTGGCTTTTGGAACAACCCCAAACACACAAATTAAGAGGTTTCCAACCACCGTTTACCCCTAGTTGCCCAGTAGCCGATGCGTGGAGAGGGGAGGAGCAGTAGCGGCTACTGGGTTTGTCTAATGGGAGTCTAGACCCACATTCAATTTGTACGTAATAAGAGGCTGTCAGAGCGCGCGCGACCCGCGCTCATCAGTCAGAGGTAAACTGCGGCTGTGCGGTCAGAGCGGTAGCGGGAACCGTTTGGTAAACACACTAGAGACATGTCAGTAACATTGTTATCAGTAATGTCAGCAAAGTAAACTTAATCTATTGTTCAATATAAAGGTGGCTTTTGTGTGTTTGCGTGTGCTACATTACTGTTTAGTAAAAACCCTAGAGGTGTGCCAATTTAGTAGTTTACGCAACGATCGCGTAAGGATAGTCTTAAAGACACGAGTTGAAAATTTAAGGTACGAGCCTTGGTACCTTTAGTCCATATATAAAAGGAGTATAGACACTGTCTACTCCTTAATCTATGTTTGAGCATAGATAAAACACGTTCCCTTGTTTTATCTATGGTTGAAGACTTACGCGGGCTGCGTACACTACCTAAGACCGTTACTAAAAATCACTATTCATGACTTCCAAGAGAGGTTATGTTTTTTGTTTATAACCTTTCATAGCCACTGATTGTGATGCAACGACTTATTATACCAACCACTCACAAGTTTTTTAAATCAATTAAATTGGTTCTAACAGCTGATAAGTTGACGTTCGAAACATATTTTACATCTTTTCTCTCAAACCTTAAACCTCATTGGTCCGTCGTGTTGTAAAGTAAGACAACAATGCTGTTAAGTAAGTAAATAATGCTGTTAAGTGAATCCTTTCAATTATAACTGAACTGAAACGGATAGATAGAACGGATAGATGTTGTCTTAAGTCAACATTGTTATTAGTGATGTCAGTAAAAGGAAAAGCATCCACTAAGAACAGGGCTAAGACTCGCCCAATCGTAAAATCTGAAGTATGTTTTTATAAGTTCGCTTTGGTAACAAATGAGTGCACTAATGGACTATGTTTCTTTCTTATGGAACAGCATTTATGAGTTGAGATGTATAATTTTTATAATTCCAGGATAAGCAACAGCTTAGAAACATACTGTTCAATTGAAGTCGAAATAATTTTTAACAATTTTAAGAGCCTAATTATTAAACAGCAAAACACCCTTTCTATGAACCAAAGTTTATCTTAAAACTCCCTTTAGATGACTAATGAGGAGGATAAATGTATTGGTAGGCTAATCTTTGGTAAAAGTAATTTAATTGGTAAGTGCCACAAATTACACATATTACCCTATAGATTTGTTATACTTCTATATTATCTGATATTATCTGCTATATGTAACCGTTGGTTTTCATATGGACTATTCGACGCAGTCGTATTCAGGTGTGTTCCGCCATGAGAGAAAAACATCATGATAAGGTTAGGTATAACTAATTCAGTAAATTACGTCTGGACATTCCTCTCATCGTATATACATAACACTTGTTGCAATGTCTACAAACCACTAATCCAAGCAACTAAACTTCGCAACAATCAATAAAATCCCCAAAAATGAAATTTAAAAACAAATCAACAAAACGGGAAACATTTCGCTGGCTATCATATCAGATAAAAGGTCCAACTCATAGTGACAGTGTAAAGTGTTCTGTGACATCGATACAGTTGATTGGCAGCCGCTAGAGGCCCTTTTCAAGCCTAATATTTCAAAGTACAGCCCTCAGCCCAGCGCTTGACAAGTTGTGTTGACAAGCATCGAAAATCACCCTTTCAGTCGGACTGATACGTCTATTTAGTTGTGGTGTATTTGTATTGATATTGAGCAATCGTATTCCTGTAGTCGATGGAATGTATGAATAGATTATAATGTAATGAAAAGTGTGATTAGATTGATTATAGGGTGAATTTGATGTTCATCACTAAATAGATTATATGGTATTTTACTGGATGGATGTAAATAGATGGATACTGTGATTTAATGCACGGAGAGATTGGTGAGATTACAAGGCATAATTCATATTGGGACTGTGTATATTCTGCTGTGTAATGTATGGACTGAATAGAATATGTCATGTGGATGAAATGGAAAAATATTCTAGTGTAGGCCTAATCTTCAAAAAATAATTAGAGTTCTTTCTTTATATTGCTTGGGTTTATTTGGTTTGTTTTTATTACGTTTTACACTGTATGGATGGAAAACGAGCCATTTATGTTTTCGTGTTGTTACATTCAGTTGAAAGAGTATACAAGCAATGAGACATGAAAAACCTGAAAAAATTGTGTTTCCAATCAATTAAAAACATCAACAGAAATTTTATACACACTTGAGCTTTTACAATGAGCCTACTTGTAGTAGCCTACACACAGTTAATGTACTGTACAGTATATAAACTTAACACAACGAACCTTAAAAAGAAATTTTAAAATAATTTACATCACCTACCATGAATAAATATCGTCGATCCCATGACAGCCCAAAAACGTAACAATAACGTCATATCCCTCGATAAAACCCTGTGAAACCCCTTTGTTACAGTACTTTTATGAACGATTAATGACTTCCAAAAAACTCTAAAGAACTTTTTATTTCGACATAAGGTCAGCATTTTCTAAACAATAACTCTTGGCGAAATTAATTATAAAAACAGTTGTTAAGTATGAATTGTAAAAAATAATGACATAACAAATAGTTTGTCTACTCTACAAGTTAAATTAAACATGCCGTTTACTTCTATGCTTCTGTAGCAGTAACATTGCTACAGCAATTTAATAAAGAATTAATCATGACCTCCATTTTGACTGAAGCACAATCACCAAAAGGAATTAGCATACTGTAAGTAGTGAAAATATCAAGTAACACATTACATCATTAGTTGCTCTGTCAATTGACCGACTGCTACAAAATCAACATGCGAGATCGAAAAATAACAAATGATTGCAGGGCTTTCAAAAGTTAACGATGAATGATGAACCGTCAGCCGTTTGCAGAGGGCCATTCTCTTTGTAATTCCTTTTAAGATCCGATTCAATGGGAGCCTGATGAATTGAGACGATGAATCTGAAGCCTCAATCAGACATTGAATGTCCAGCTGGGAAGATAGAATCGGATTTGGTTTGTATACTTATAGACTTATGGGAAATCAAAATACGGCGAGAGAGTCATGGATAACCCAATAAAATATATTGAGTTATGGTAAATCCAAATATAGTGGCTATAGCAGACCTAGATATGACAAATAAAAATATAGTAGACCATAAATATTTAGGTTACGTGAGGTATCAAGTAACCCAGCTTGATAAATAAATATGATATATGCTGTTTTAAGAAAAATGAAATTAGGCAGAAATAGATAAGGGGGAAAAACGGCAAACCAAGCTATGGGTTTTCCAACCTAGCTATGACAGATCCAACTATAGGAAACCCAAGTACAGTAGACCCAACTACTGAAACAACATTGGAGATAAATTATACGCATATAGCTTAAAGATATTCAGTTAAAATACGATACTTCAAAGTTTACTTGGAACAGGAGAAACTGGTAATGTATGCTTCAGAAGTTGTAAAGTCTGCATTAACAGTTGCTACAGCTAGGTTGATTTATTACCAGGTTAACGTATTATAAAGAATCACGTAGTGAAAATGCCATCACCATAATGAACTTCAAAGAAAGGAAGAACTTCAAAAGTTCAAATGAAACAAACTTAATATCTCACGGCAGAAACCTGTAGTCTCCACCCTATAGTAAATCCTCCAGCATTCCAAGAACCTTCAGATATCGCGTGCGCTCTCCACTCCCCAAGGACATCCGATAGGGCCCGGGGCCTGGGGCCGAGTGTT